GGGGAAGGGGTGGGCAGGATAGGGGCTGCTATAGATTGAACTACCCATGTGCTGGCTGTGACCATCCCTGCCTTCCCTGGTGCACTGCCCACTCACCCTTCCTAAAAGAAAAAGCCAGTGAGTGCTGGGGCGGCATTTCCATTCCCAAGACATGGGTGCAGTGAGGGTATTCCCCCATCACAGCACATACCTGGCTGTGACAGCAAGGCCAGTGCCAGGCTGCCATAGGAGTGGGGCTGTAGGGCCACCATGGGCCCCACGCAGGGACCCTTTCTGCTCTCCAACACCAAGCCTGTGGGTGCTGCTTTGCAAAGTGGCAGTTGTGTCCAGTACCCAGCCCGGAAAAGGGCTGGGGATGCTCTTACATCCTCCCCCATGAGGTGCAGGGGAAGTCATGCTGGGATCCCTGCTCCAGCGTCACCCAACTGCCCTCACATCACCCAGCTACCCCCAGGCTCCAGAGTCCACCCAGAGAGCCCACGGCCCCAGGCTAGGGGTGGCCCCTTTAACCCACCACTGCATCACAGGCACCATCGCACCCTGGCTGGGGAGCGGCATGGGGTAGTGGGGGACAGCAGCCAGCCATCTGTGCTTTTTGCCACCCTGAGGAATGGCCACACACTGGTAACTACACCCCTTTCTCCACAGACCTTGAAGATCGTCCGCACAGCCGAGCTGTCTCCGTTCATAGTCTTCATTGCCCCAACAGACAAGGCAGAGCAGGTGGGTGGCAGGGTAGCCAGGCAGAGTACTGCTCAGGCTTGGCAGGGGGCAAGGAGCCCATTGCAGCAGCCCTGGGCTCTCTCCCTGCTCCACATCAGCTTCTTCCTATCTGCCTTGATTTCTGTGGTCCAGGAGAGCAGGGCAACTTCCCCAGACCAGACTTGGTGATTCCTGCAGCCGTAGATTCTCTGCCAGATTGACACCCCCCCCAGCAACCATCATCCCTGCAGCATCATCAGCCGCTAACACGTAGTGGTGTGCACAGCCCAGCATCCAAGGCTATCTGTCTTCAGCTGCAGCAGTGCTGCAGAGCAGGAACATTTTATCCTGCCATCAGCCATGCAAACAGGACAAACAAACAGTAGGTCCTTTCATTTTTTGCCTCATTACGAGGCAAAAAATCCTCCAAAATTAGGATGAAAGCAGCACCGATGCTGCAGTTGACTCATGCAGCACCAAGCACTGCAAGGCTGGCAGCCACACGCTGCCATCTCCCAGGAAGCCCCTGACACAGGGAGCAGTGCTGCCTACTCTGCCCTGCCACAGCCTGGACCAGCTCCCCTGAGGGCTGGCCTCCACAGGGAGACAGGAAGCTATTGGGAGAAGAGGGAAACCCACAGAGCTGTGCTCCTCTTGGACTCATGGCCAGCCAAGGCCACTTGTCACAACCTACTAATTTGGGGTTTGTAAAGCTTGAGATAGTTTGCAAGGATATTTATGCAGCCTTCAAAGCAAGCATTACACAGGCATTTAGAGGCATGCTAACCTGCAGAGGATTGTAAAGCCAGATGCAGCAGGCTGGGGGGAGAAAGAGGGACAACTGTGAGGGCAGAAAGGGCAGCCTGCTGCCCCCACCTCCGTGCCCCCTCACCCAGCGCTGCCTCCATACAGAAGAATGAACTCCTGCCGCAGTGGGCAGAGCCAGCCCCGCTGGTGCAGGTGCTATATATAGCTGCCGCAGCTCAGGTCACTGCTTACTACAAGGGATGCAGCAGAGCCAAAATGTGACCAGCAGAGTTCACATGACTCAGGCAAACAGCTTATTGCTCTCCCCTCTCCAGCCCTGAGAGCTGCCAGGCAACACACAGCAGCGCTACAGCAAGCACAGCACCCCAAGCTCATCTCTCCCCAGACACAGGAGCAGAGAGCCACTTGCGTTTCAAGCTCCATTAGGGAGATAAGTGGAAATTGGTCTGGACTTCACTGCTGAGGGCACAGCTGACCACAGGGACACACTCCCTGGTAGCTGGGAGCTGTGCAGACTGGCCACACTGGCAGGCAGCTTTGCTTTTATTATGAAGAAATTTAACTCTATCCTAGCCAAAACCAGCAGAGGGAGGCTGATACAGCTCTGCCAGCCAGTGCTGTTCTGGTCAAAAGTCAGTGGGGAGGGACCATCCTGCAGGGATCCTATCTTAAAACCAACCTTAGGCCTTGAAATGGCTACGCTGCATAGTGCAGTAACAAGCAGCCTGCTGCTCAGTGAACCTTCTCCTCCGAGGGAGCTGCCTCAAAACATTTTAAAGATAAACCAGACCAAGCAGGTCTGGCCTGACTAGCAGGTAGCCTGTTGTTCCCAGCATTGCATTAGAATCCAGCAAAACGCCCAGACACACACGCACTCGCAGAGATCGCACAACAGCTCTTAGCTTGTCAGACAAGCTGCAGGGGACACTCTGCAACCACTTCAGTTGTTTTGGTGGTAGGAGGGAGTTTGCCTTTTGGGGTGGACTGCAAAATTCCCCTCCTCCCCAGCCTCCTGAGCATTCTCTTCTGTTTCTTGCAGTCAGATGCTTTGCAGCAGCTACGAAAAGATTCAGAGAGCATCCAGAGCCGATACGCACACTACTTCGACCTCTCGCTGGTCAACAATGGGGTGGAAGAAAGCCTCCAGCTGCTGCAGGAAGCCTTTGAGCAGGCCTGCAGCTCTCCACAGTGGGTGCCCATCTCCTGGGTGTATTGAGAAGGCATCCAGCCCCAGCCACTTCCGATCACCTATCCTGCAGCCATGAGGAGAAACCTCCTCAGCTTCCCCTGATCCACACACAGCCCAGCACAACTCCCTTCCTCTGCTGCTCCGCAGACATGGTCTCAGTTGGCTGACACACACACACAGGGTCTCCAGACCTCCTCTCCTGGGGGAACACAGGACAGGGGCTGCCCAGGGGACAGCCGACTCCTGCGGCCCTGTAATGCAGTGCTAAGTTGGTGGCCACAGCAGAGCCCAGGGCACCCTGTTAGCTCACAGCACAGCTCCCTGCCTCACCAGGCACAGGAAAGCACAGTCCTGTTGTAGCAGCCAGCCAATGTTCTGTGAACCAGTTCAAAGGGAAGTGGTAGAGTCTTTCCAGGCAGATATCCCCTTCCATTACACCTTCAAAGCCGGACTGGTGTCCGTGAGGCTTCAAGGAAGCCCACAGCTTCAGAGGCTTCACATAGAGCATGCCAGAGCTCCTACATCCAAGGGTTTCCTCTTACAAATGCAGAAGAGCAGAAAAAGGCAAGTGTGAATTTGACAAAGGTGGCATGGACCGGGCAAGTCTCACCACATGTTCTGAGGTTGGAGTTTTCTGATTCACTGTGTGCAGCTGGAGTTGTAAAAACTCACTGTATTTAAATTATCGCTGTGCAGCTTGGATTGTTACTTCCTGGCCAGAGAAGCTCCGCAGCAGCTGAGGAAGTCCCACACACCAAACCCCAGGACAGTTCCATGGGTAAATTAGATCCAGCCACAAGTATCTGTTGCACGTCTCTACAAAGATCATCCAGGCGTGTTTTCCAGAGTCTAACATGTCACACACTGTATGCAAACATAAAAGCCATCCACACAAAGGGGTTCATTCTGCAGGAGTCTGATGCACAAGCTCCACAATGACCATGTCCAGGAAGCATCACCATGGCTTCTGGGCAAACCATAGCCATCATTTAGGTGAAAAAATCTCATTTGTGTGTTCAGCAGTCAGCTAGGGGAGAGGGGAAGGGTGTTAAGAAGTCTTGTGCAAATTTTAAGGATGCCAAAAATAAAATCTATTGATGTGCAATTGGGACCTTTGTTCTGATCCACTGCAGGGAAACAATGAGCAGCAATAAACATGCTAGTGATGGTCCACATTAACATGACCACTTCTCTGCACCAGCAGCTTCTTCAGGAGAGCCACACAAATGCTGGGCAGAAAGGGCAGCCGTTTACCTGCCCAGCTGCAGCAAGCACATGCGTAAAGCTGCCTCCCCTCCCCATGAATAGACCACTGATGAGCAAGAAAATAACCCATTCAAAAATAGGGCTTTTATTTTTATGTAACAAAAGAGTAAATAAAAATGGACTTTTTCTTCTGCTCAAGTTCTGACAGCCACCTGCTACTGGCCCCACTGCCTGCACATATCTCTCTAGCTTTGGAGGGGAGCAAAGTTAAGATGAAAGCAATGCGTGAGGTTAAGACAAACATTACAGAATTTCCACAGGGATGAAGCTCAGAACAAAGCAGCCTGGATCCCTCCCCATTAAAAAGGGGTAAAATCCTGGCTCAGCCACTACCCCTGTCCCTCAGCGAGCCACCCCAGATAAGGATATTAGGACAAATGTTTCTGAAATGGCTCAAGTCCCACATCTAGTGCCCCTTGCAGAGCTGCCTCTGGCCAAGCTTGGAAAGCAGAAATTTAAATTTCTAAGCCTTTTCTGACAAAAAAAAAGTACTGAAGAATATCTGGTGGAATATTTGATCTCATCTAGCAGAGAGTCAAGCCAATCATATGGCCAGGTTAAAATACATCAGAGCCCTTCAAAAAACCCATTCCACTGTCCCTGTCCAAACCCGTTCAGATGGGTCGTGACAAAGCCAGTCCTCCAGACACCAACACATTCTGCAAATGTCAGACAACAGCTGTAACCCTGGAATAAAAGGAAGAAAGAGGAAGGACAAGAAGGGGGAGAAACATTATTCCTCCCTCTGAAGGTGAAAACAAGAGTCCCCAAGTAAGAGCCAGAAGCTACAGCTTCCTTGAAGGTACCATTTCTATTGGCATCATGGTGCTCAGCTTTAGAGAGAAATCCAGTTCAGGGGCAGTCATGCACCCCACTCCTCTGGCAACCCGTAAAACAGGATGAGGAGGGGTACCAGAGCAGGGCATATCCTGGGCAAACACACCTGCTCGCTCGTATACACAGCGGGAAAGGAACTGGCTGGACCCTCTGCCATGCAGCCAGTCCTTGTTTTCTCAAGGCCTCAGACTTCTCCCTCCCTACCAACAGGTTGCCTGCTTTGGACAGATTCAGTCGCTTACTCCGAGCTCTCTTCTACTGCCTTTTGTTTCTTCTTCTTCTTCTTCTTGGTGCTCATCTCGCTGGTCTGTGAAGAAGTTGGAGGTCAGGAAGGAATCAAAAAGGAATCTCCCACTGCTCATTTCAGGAGGAACAGCCCCACTCCAGATGCAGTGCAGGCTCCCTCACCACCACATGAGCACTCAAGCACACTGACTGAATGCCAGTACCATGTCAGAGAGCGTCCTCCCACTGGGGCCCATTAGAGGGCACAAGAGCACAAAGGTGGCCTGGCAACCACCAACTGCCCCAGGACACAGAGAGCTGCTCATCCCATCCCTGCCCCGCTGCAGATCCACCTCCACAACCCTCACCTGTGCTCGATCTCCTACCACCCTCAACCAGTTCGGTTTACAAACGCATCTATATAGACATCTTTCTCTGCCTGTGGGGAGCCTGGCACTTTGGGGATATGCACAGCAGGATGCTGATGCATTTATCCTGGAGGTAGTAGGGAGAGACAGTAATCTCTCCTCTGTGCTAGGATGGTACGGTGGCAGCACCCTGTTACATACCACTTCTATTTGCTCTTCCCCACTTTCAGCTGCCTCTTTGGCCTTCTTCTCTTTCTTCTTCTTTTTCTTTTCCTTTTTGCTCAGCTCCTGTGGTGGTGGGGTGGCAGGGGATGGTGGGGTCACAGCCTCCTCACTTTCACTCTCCGATTCTCGCTTCCTCTGTTAGGGGAACAGATTGTCAGACATGCCATCTTCCAAAGGAGCTCAAATGATGGGAAAACTGCTAGTAAGCTCTTTGCAACTATTTTGCTGGGTTCAATCAAACCTTGCAGTTAACAATGCTTTGACAGGGAGGGTGAGCCACAGACTGCCAGTGGTCCCTCCAGCATACGCTGTCTAGAATTTGCTTGTGCCAGAATTGCACCCCGTATTTCTCAGTGTTTCCTGTACCCCAAATGCTCCAAAATTTGAAACGCTGCAGCACCTTTCCAAGTGCATGCACAAGCCCTGACTTGGGGAGCTTTACAGGTAACTCTTGCATGGACACTTCTGCAACTGTGTGTGGTCTTCAGAAAGGTTTTCTCTGGCACAACAAACCTCCATTGTGGCTCCATACAACATATTTCCTTGGATGCTGCAGCCTGTACACAAGTCAGAGCTCCTCGTTCTCATACTGTGCTACAGGACTCACACACAAAGTACAACATCCCAGAGACAAGCACACGGGGTAAGGCCCTAAACGGGTCACCCTACAGCTAGCTCATGGGCCATGCAACCACAGCACATGTTGGGGCACTAAGCTCCCAGAATATAAAACACCTTCCCCTGTAAAACAACCAACCAAAGCACCTCGATACCAACTGCCTAAAGGAAAAGGCACATATCCACTCTTCATCACAGCCCAAACAACCTTACCGCCAGAGCACTAACGATACTCACTTTTGGAGCCCTCTCCAGCTCTGAAACAGCTCGGGGAACAGCAGCTGCCTCTTTCTTGGAAGTATCCCTGAAAGTGAAGATGCCCGGACTGAGCAGGACAGCCGCTGCCTCACCCTACTCTGTACAAAGCCCTGTCCCCCTTGCAAGGGCTCTGTAACCCATGCCAGGTGCTGGGTGGGAAGGCTGGTGTGGGGAAGACCTGCAGCCTGCACCAGGTCCGGCTAGGCAACAGCAAGGCTTCCTCCATTTAATTTAGCAGACTGACTCCCTCTAAAACCACAAGCGCAGGCTAGAAAGGGATAACTGTCTGCTCAGGGCCTTTCCCTCCAGCAGCACATTCCCTGGGACTGCAAGAAATGCCACCACACCCCACGGGTCTGGACAGCCAACAGCCATGGGTCAGGTCTAACATGCTTCAAGCATAAACAGCAGCACCCAGCCCAGCCCTTCTCTCTGCCCACCATGCATGAGGCACACACCCTGCACCCACCTGTAATCCACATACTCCTTCTTCCAGGAATCTGGTGTGCTCTCGTTGGGCTTCCCGTGCTTGTCCAGCAGACCCTTCTGGATCATCATCTTCTTTTGACTGGCCTGAGACCAACGCACAAGTCAGACTGCAGCTCCAGGGAGGAGAAATCCTCCCCATGGCTTCAGCCAGCTGGCCTAAGAGGAGGTAATCCAGGAACAAGCCAAGCCCACAACTACAGCACTACTGATTTAACACTTCTCCAAGGACCTTCCAGCAAATCACACAGAACATGCCCTGCACAGCAGCCTACAAATCTCAGACAGGAGGCTTCTTCATCAGTAAATAAGGGCTAATTTGTGGTCTAACAGCAGCAGAATAAGATGACCTTGCACATCATGGAACTCAGACCAGGTTTCTGCAGCTTAATGACCTGCAGCATTTCAGCTGAACCACTCCAGCTCCAAGTGCAAGGCTAAAGACTCCAAGATGCTTGAACTGGCCCATATTACCTCATATTTACTGTGAGACAGATATGCATGCATCCCCACAGCTTTCTACATTTCACCTGAACCACAGGAATGGAATAAGCCACAGCAACCTGATACCGCGTTTTAAGTCTGAGCTGAATCACTCGCCAGGGAACAGTCAGTCTGGTTGCAGTTAAACTAGCACTGCTGATCTGCTGATTTCCGTGACTACCACATGCTCGAGACAAGAGACTAACCCATCAACAGATGTTCCCACTGCTCCTGTCCTTCAGGCACAATTTAGTGTCTCACAAGACAGTTTCCATTTTGGCACTGTCGCAGTTGCACCACTGCGAAAATCACACCACAAGGAAAATCAGCTCTTTGCCCAACCCCTCCAGAGCCATCAGTATGGGGTGATAGATGAAAGTCATCTTTGCACAGAGTGCTAATGCCATCCACTTCACATCATTTGGCACTTTACCAGAGGAGGGCTAGTGCTGTACAGACCCGAGAAGCCCATGCCTGAGCACCAGTGCCGCCATCATGACTCCAGGAGAGCACAGCAGAATTACACTGAGGCCCTGCACAGGCACAGCTCTGCCCGAGGGGCCTGGAGTCTCACATCCCAACAGCTGGGCTCCCACTGCCTCCCTGGGACTGACTGCACCGCGATGACACTCACCTTGGGACCGAGACCCCATTTGCGGGGATACGTATCTCGCTCCATGATCACTCTCTTGATCTTCGCCACAAAGCCATGGTCACAGGTAGAAATGACTGCTGTGGTCATCAAGGCAATGGCTGCAGAAGCAGGCAGAGAGTTCATTAACTCTTTAACAGCAGAACTGTGACAGTCAATCTGTTCTCCTCTGCCAGCACAAAGAGGAGAAACACCCCACCACCACTGCCATTTCACCCCAAAACCTCACTAGAGGTAAGTTCTGGACTAACGCATCAGAGAAGCTCCCCTGCTCAAAGTCAGCAAGTGCGTCAGTCGTGGATTAACCACATCATAAGCACAGGCCTCTCTAGCTCACACCAGCAGACCAGTTCTGGATCAGTGAATGCCGTAAGACCAATCGTTTCCCAGAGCAGCAGTAACACCACCAGTGGATGGGGAAGAGCTCTGTGAGCAGCTGCTGGAGCACTTCCAGACAGCTCAAGGAACGATACCACTACAGAAAGGAGCAGTGCTGCTCCTTTGACAGCTCCCAAAGCCTTGCAGAGCAAAACTAGAGGAAATTACATTTTTCTTGCCAGGTCCACAAGATAAGAGTGCAGGCAGTACAAACAACAGGGTGGAATGGCTTTACCTGTGTTACACCTCCAGGGCCCCTCAGTCCTATGGGTGTGGACAAAGCATGAGACGGTGCAGCACCAAGCAACACAACAGATCATATGTATATCAGCACCTGCCACCTACGCAGCTTCTTCAAAAGACCCTCATTAGAACAAAGCACCCTTTTGAGTCACTTCACAGAAGCTGGTAGTTGCTCAAGTCCTTTTACACTAATCTTCTCAGGAAATGTGATATGCCAGGTACCAGTATGTGATCAGACATCATTCCTCATCTCAGTGAGGACGGAGCCCCCGCAAAGAGGGGCTCCAACCCTGCCGGCACCACTTCACTCCTGCCG